GAGAATAAATGTAACCATTTACACAGTTTTGTTCATCAAAGGAATTAAGTCAGAATTATAAACTGTGTGACCCACCATCACACTATCTGATGTCCACCTTTGAACATGGAAACAAAGGAGCTGAAAAGTCCACTGAATTGGCCAAAATCAAGCAGGAAGTAATAATGAGAGCCCTGATCTCTCTGGCTAAGAGACTATAGTCATGTGCCTCCTAACAACAAGGATACTTTCTGAGAAATGTGTCTTCAGGTGATTTCCCCAGGCAAACATCATAGACTGCACTTACACAAACCCAGATGTCTAGCCTATTACTGTAACTGCATGTACTACACCGTTATACAGCTGATTGTGCAGTAGGATTGTGCTCACCAGCATCACCACAAACATGTGAGTAATGTTTTAAGTTAAGACTAGAGGCCCAGTGCACGAATTCGTGCATGGGTGGGGTCCCTCAGCCTGGCCTGTGATCGATCAGGGCCGATTGGGGCCGATCAGGGCCGGCCGGCCAGGGGGAGGAACCGCAGGAGGTTGGCCAGCCCCAGGAGGTTGGCTGTAGGAGCACACTGACCACCAGGAGGCAGCTCCATCATAGTGAACAGTCGACCGGTTATTCGGTTGCTTAGGCTTTTATATATATATATATATATATATATATATATATATATATATATATATATATACAGACTAGAGGCCCGGTGCACGAATTCATGCACGGGTGGGGTCCTTCTGTCTGGCTGGCAATCGGGGCCGATCAGGGCCGGCCGGTGAGGGGGAGGGACCACGAGAGGTTGGCTGGCTGGGGGAGGAACCGTGGGAGGTAGGCCGGCCGCAGGAGGTTGGCTGCATTGAATGTCTGCCCCCTGGTAGTCAGTGCATGTCATAGTGGCCGGTCGTTCACTCGACTGGTTGTAATAGTCACTTAGGCTTTTATATATATAGATGTTACCATGGTTAAGGAGTCACTAGGTGTTAGAAAATGTTCAGCTCCATTATAATCTTTACGGGACCACTGTTGTAATATGCAGTTGACCAAAGCCTTCTTATGCCTTGTGGGGCTTTGCAGACTGCCTCAAAGTGTGGTCACCTGACAATTTTCTGAGACCTTAACTAGTAGGTGTTGATTCTTGATAGATCCTGAGATCTACGTGTGCACACACACACACCAATACATACATGCACACTTGTCATTTACCAATCTGTCAACCATGCAGAGAATAGACAATGAAGGAATTCTATACCTTTCACTGCTTTTACTATCACATCCATTCTTGGAATTCTGCTATGCTCATTCCCACCATGTGGTACCTGATCATTGATCAACTTGAGGTACCCAGAAATATGAAGTGTCTGATGTGGCAACATCCAAAGAAGAAAATCTCAGTGTAAAGAAAAGGAATGAAGAGGAAAGGGACAATGCTGTATTCGAAATGGTACAGCACATTCCGAAATTCCCTTCTTCATTTTTAAAATAAAAACTATAGCCCTAAATTACACCAGTAGCAAAAATTCATTTATTTAAAATATTTACCATCTTCACTCAATAAGATTTAAAGCAGTTTTTCCTTAAGTCAATGTAAGTGTTTCCAAAATGGATGTTCAGATGAAAATTTAAGTGAGAAAATACATAGCGGGTCCCCTTTGCACCTACACAAACTGGGAAAAGAATACTTCAGTTTGCAACGAACAATTCAGTATTCAGAAATATCAGGTAAACCCTGGTTAAAGAATAACTAGAGAAAAAAGGGAAAATGCAAATCTTTGCAACTGAGACATTCTAATTTCTCACAGACTGGGAAACCAACTTACAAGCTGCGTCACAGAGCCTAAGAAAATCCTCCCACATGTCCAGTTGGAAGGGCCTTTAAAGAAGGGCCTGATAAACACTAATACAGTGATTTTTTCCAACTGAAAAATGTGTTACCTAATTGCAAAAATTCCCAAAGCTAAATAATAATGTATATCCTCCCAAATTTATTTACATCTTTAAATGTTGAAAGTCAGGCAAATTTTATCTGCAGACAAGTATTACTAATTACCTCAAAATGCTGTGTAAACTCCGTTCTCATTAACCACCCTCCTAAGTTGAATTTTAAAAAAAACAAAAACACCATCCTGCTGCTGTCAAAAGTGTCAAATAGCTAAAGAGCTAAAATAGAATCAGAAACTTTAAGCCTGATTTTTAACTCTTCTATTGAGTTTTTAATATGAAGGGGAACAAACTGTTTTGACTAAATACAACGGCAATGTCTCCAATCCAGGTCCTGATTCACTTTAACAATCCACACATCTTTTGAATAAATTTAAGGACCACAAATATATAAGCATAAGGTGGATTTTCCTAGCACTTTCCAAAAAATGGACTCTCATTTTCTGTCTCTTTCATTCAATTTTATAATACCCCAGGGGAATGGGCACAGCTGACACAAAAAGAGAATATGACATGGACAAGGTCACGTGGCTAATTAGCAGCAGGCCCAGAACAAGATCTTCTCCTAATAGAAGAGCAAGAAAATTCAACTGAAGGCATGAACTCTGTCTTTGACACAGAAAGTGTATAAATAATGACGCTACAACGATATAATGAAAAACCATAGCTACCACGCCGCTTTGATTTCATAGCCCCAAAATCAACTTGCAAAAATACATCTCTACCAATTGTATTCTAAGCGAACAAAATAGATGCTGTAACTCTGCCTAGCAAACATTTCATGTGGCATACATACAAGCTCCTGGGGCTTTATCACCCCTAAAAGAATATGACTCCTAAAAGGACAATGAGGTTCCACAGGTTAAAATTAAAAAAAAAAAAAAAGAATACCCAATCAAAACACCAGGCTTCACCAATAGCAGCATTTCTAAAGATCCTCAACTTAGAATCAGCTGCACAAAGGCCTTGTGATAGCAACCTCAAGACTCGGTTTGTTAACAGAAAACAATACTGCACAAAGTTTCCAAAGCAAGAACTACTGGATACAAATAAGCAATATTTATACAAACGTATATACTACACGAAAGGTCAAGTTAATATTTTACTCACGGCTTAAAGATTATGATGTGCAACCAAAGAAACTAGCTCTGGAGTGGGAATCTGGAGACAGGGCTGCAGTTCCAGCTGTGGCATTAATGCATTCTGTTTATTGGCTAGGTCTCGTCATTTCTCTTGCCCTCGGTTCCTATATCTCTAAAATGAGGGCAGACTCCACAACTGCTAAAGTTGTAGCTTCCTGATTTCCCATCGAAAGCCCTCCGTGCAAATAGCTACCCATATATAAAACATGACTTTTTGTTTGTCCAGATTGTACACTTTATTCCTAACCCTTTTTATTATTTTGTCCACAGCTGTAACCATTGCTCATGGTTACAATAGTTAACACTTTATGTAAGTGCTTATTCATTGACAGATACCATGCCAAGCACTTTACATACATTAACTTCTTCCTCACCACAACCCTCTGAGATAGAAACCATTATTCTCCGTGGGGTTTTTTCAAACGTGAGGAAACTGAGAAACAGCAATTATGTAACTTCCTTGGGGTGTAAAGGGTCACAAGTGGAAAAGCCAGGATTGGACCCCAAGCATCCAGGCCCTGGAGCACTCCCTGCTTAACTGCCACAGGTATGGAGTCTATGGAAGCTAAGTGAGAAATGCAGCAAAGTTCACTGGCAAAACGTTGTTGGGGGCCCAAAAAAACTGAACTAACACTATGAACTCTCCCAGAAACAAATGGTAGCTCAAGACTTACAAACTCAACATCAGCACTGGCCAGGCTTTTTTACCCCCACGCTTCAGTTTCACAAGTAAATAACACTGAATTTAAAGGGATTAAATTAAATCTACCTTCCTTCTTTCACCCATGGGGAGAGGTGGGTGCACACATAACAGAAACTGGAAGTTCTGGCGACTTCCACGCCCCCTGCCGAGTAGTCACCACTCCGTTATAACAGGGCTGGAAGTCACACTCCCAGGGCACTGCATGTTAAGTCACGTATTCTAAAACCTCACAGCAGAAAACAGTGACCGAGTAGAAACACCAGTTCCGCAGCCCGAATTCTCTGAACTCAGCAGTCTACTTGCTGAGATCATTTAGTAACAACTAAATATATGCTCATCGAATATATTGCGGTGTGCATTTGAACTGCGACCTGATATTCTCAATCGAGACCGTGAAAATACCAGCCATCAAAGAAGTCCTATTGAACCATCTAGCACGCGGTTTTAATCTGTATCCCATTCATAAGTCAACGCGAATCTCAAGGGCATTGCCCTTAGTTGAGTTCCAGGTGAGGTTCATCATCTCAGTGGGCCAAGCCCCGGGGAGTGGAGAAAGTAGGTCTGAGTTCTAGCACCCGGAGGCCGACGTGACCTCCGAGGGTCCCAGCGCCCCGGAGGGCCCTACGCTGCGCGGATGGCGGGGCGAGCCCCGGTTTGGCTAGGCCAAAAGGAAATTACTTAAGCGAGGAGGGCATGGGCCGCTGCACCCGCAGGGCAAAGCCACACTTGAGCTCACCACTTCGCTGGCGTTAACAGGTCCTAGGCCACGGACTTTTACCGCCGGCTCTTACAAACCGGGTCTTGAGAGACAGGGGTAGAGAGCGGTAGCGAGAAACGATTGGGGAGAGGAGGTGTGATGCTTCACCTTTAAGGGGGGAAAACACATTGCAATCAAAACAGCCCGCGGAGCAGCCGGCGAAGACTTCGCCGGGCCTGTCTCAGGGCTTCTGAATCACTTCCTCCTTTTCGGATGCGTCTCTGAGTTGGAGAAAACCTAGCCTCTCCGGGCAGCTTCCTGCGCGCGGGCGAGCCGAGCGCACCGCGCAGTCCGCGGGCGCAGCCCCAGCCCGGAGGCCGGGCCCCGCGCGGCGGGAGCCGCAGGACTCAGCTGCGCGCCGAGGAGACCACCGCGCCGCCCAGCCCAGCCCGCCCCGGCTTACCCCAGGGTGCTGATGAAGCCATTGACCGAGCCCTCCGCGTACAGGGACACGATGTCCCCGATGTAGAGGAAGCTGGACATTTTATCAGACATGCTGCTTCATGCTCCGGAGAAGACGTCCTTCCTCTTCTCTGCGCCCTCGCCGCCCTCTCCGGGGAGCCGCCGCGGCGGAGGCGGAACGGAGCGCACGGCGGCAGCGCCGGGAGCGGCTGCAGAGGGCACGGCCGGAGGGACCGGGGGTCGGCTCAGCCCTGCCCCGCGCGTGGGGAGCGAAGCCGCAGCCGCGGACACCCCGCGACGCGCGCAGCCCGGGCTCCTGGGAGCCGAAGCGGTCGCCTCCCCGGCAGGTTTCCTGTTCCTTTCCGAAGTTTGCTCTCCAACACCTTTGCTCCTCCTCCTGCGTCCTCCTGGCCCCCTCCCTTCTCTGCGCCCCGCCGCCGCCGGCCGGGCCACCGGGACGCAGGGGGTGGCCGCCGAGCCTCCTGGTGCCCTCGGGGGAATTTTTGGACCAGGTGGTGGTGCCCATTGGGCGCAGGGGAGGAGAGGCGCCTGGGGAGGAGGGAGTGGGAGGCCAATCAGGGAGCAACGGCCGGGGGCGGAGCTGGGCCGGGGCGGGGCGACTCCGGGGAGGCCGGGCCACCCGGGAAGCCGCGCGGCGGCCGCTTCGGCGGGCGGGCCGCCGGGAGGCGCTGGAGGGGTGGCGGGGGCCCCGAGCCCGAGAGGCCGCGCGGGATAGCGCCCCGGGGAGGCTAAACCTGGGGTGCGGCAGTCCCCGCTGGGGAGGTGAAGGATGGCGGGCGGACACGCTTTCCCGCAGCTTGAAGGAGGCAGTGAGGGTGAGACCTGGCGAAGGGCGGCCGCGAAGGGCTGGAGCAATGGGCTGAGCCAGCGCTTCGCCTGGAGATGAAAAGGAGGAGCCGGAGTGGGATGCGCGGGGGTGGGTAGTTTGCTGATGAAGGGAGAAGAAGGTGTCTTCTGAAATAAAGGGAAAAATAGAAATAAAAGATAAATACATAATAAAGAAAATAAGAGGGAAAGGAAGGGCAGAAGGAAGGAAAGGGTTTCTATGTGGAGTGTGCCGTTCGGGTTTTTATCTCAGGTATATGGCGTGCAACTTGACCTGTCAGCAGACGCCCAGGTAGAGGCAGCCTCGGGGGAGGGAAGCGTCACTTGGCCACCCATTTTTATAGCCAACCGCTGGCGGTAAACCTTCTCTGAAGCCTCCATGACTGCGCCCCCTGCTGTGAACTTGGGACCCAGAGCCCAGGTTTAACCTTGCACCCCCCACCCCTCCCGGAGCCCACTGTCACTGCGTCCATGGCGGTCTTCGTTTGCTGACTTTTAAAGCTGCCGGCTCTTGGGAAGGACAAATACCATACCATATGATTTCACTTGTGTGTGGAATCTAAAGAACAAAATAAACAAACAAAACTGAATCAGACTCATAGATACAGAGAACGGACTTATGGTTGCCAGAGAGGCGGGGGATTGGGAGGTGGGTGAAAGGGGTAAAAGGATTAAGTACAAATTGGCAGTTACAAAGTAGTCATGGGGGTGTAAAGTGCAGCACAGGGAATGTAGTCCATGATATTGAGATAACAATGTATGGTGCCATGTGGGCACTGGAAATATCATGGGAACACTGAAAAGTAGATGATGTCTAACCACTATGCTGTATGCCTGAAACTAATACAAAATAATAGTGTTAACTGTAATTGAAAATTATTTTTTTTATTTTATTGCTTAAAGTATTACAAAGGGTATTACATATGTGTCCATCCCCCCCCCCCCCGCCCTAGACAGTCCCCTAGCCTCCCCTATCCCCCAGTGTCTTATGTCCATTGGTTATGCTTATATGCATGCATACAAGTCCTTTGGTTGATCTCTTTCCCTCCTACCTCCTGCCCCCCAACCCTCCCCGGCCTTCCCGCTGCAGTTTGACAATCTGTTTGAGGCAGCTCTGCCTCTGTATCTATTATTGTTCAAAAGTTTATAATGGTCTCTATTATCCATGAATGAGTGAGATCATGTGGTATTTTTCCTTCATTGACTGGCTTATTTCACTTAGCATAATGCTCTCCAGTTCCATCTATGACGTTGCAAATGGTAAGAGTTCCTTCTCTTTTAGAGCAGCATAGTATTCCATCATGTAGATGTACCACAGTTTTCTAATCCATTCATCTACTGATGGGCACTTCGGCTGTTTCCAGATCTTAGCTATGGTGAATTGTGCTGCTATGAACATAGGGGTGCATATATCCTTTCTGATTGGTGTTTCTGGTTTCTTGGGATATATTCCTAGAAGTGGGATCGCAGGGTCAAATGGGAGTTCCATTTTCAGTTTTTTGAGGAAACTCCATACTGTCTTCCATAGTGGCTGCACCAGTCTGCATTCCCACCAGCAGTGCACAAGTGTTCCTTTTTCTCTACATCCTCTCCAGCACTTGTCGTTTGTTGAGAAAATTTTTTTTAAAAAAAATTTAAACTGCCAAATCCTAAAGCTCCAGCAGTCAAAATGAAACGTGGCTGGACACATTTCCACACCTTCTCTGTTACTTCGGTAGTCCCCATCTTATGACATCATTTTAGAAGCCTTTGCCCTACGTTTCCGAAAGACCCATAGAGGGAAAACTCAGAGCAGCGCTTAGGACCCAAAGAATTGCAACCTAAGTAATCCCTACAGAGCAAGGTTTGCAGAAAAGCGAAGGAACTGAAGGCGTGCAGAGGGGTGTGTGCCAACTTGTACAACTGGCCAAAATTTTAATTTCAGTTCAAGAATGTCCTACAGTTCAAAAAAGATTTTGTTTGAGACATAATCACATAATGGAAGATGAAAGAAGCACAAGCTTCATAGGCAAATGTTTGTGTTTGGAAAGCCTGGAGGATAGAGAACAGAATGTTAGACCCAGAATCCAGGAAATGCCAGCGCAAAGCCTGTACATGTTGAGATAAACTAGATCCAGTCATTGCCCTACCATACAGCTGACAGATCTCGCTTTACTTTTGTGTTCTCCTTTGGAAAAGGTTACTTAGCAACTTAGATATGCCTGTTATATGATGGAATGTCCCCTTTGTCTATACGCATATTACCATTGGGGACCTCCAAGACATTGGACATATGAACTACTTAAAAACTTAAGTTGGAACAAGACAATGACCCTGGAAATGAAGGTTTCTGTTTATCAAAGAGATCCATGGATTGCATTCTATTGTTCATCATATTGCACAGTCCTGTGCCATATATCTAATGGATGTTCAACAATTATTGATCAAAGTCATGAATGTTTTTCTTTGTTTCCTCTAGACACAACCTATCTGTGGGCAACATATTACAATACAAGTAGGTGATTGTTTGTGCTAATGGCTAATGAACAGGTAAGAACTTCATGCCAAGTACCCAAATCCAATGGCTTTCTTCCTTCTAACCTCAGCCCTACACCCACTGCCCGCTGAGGATTGGATCAGGTCACATTTCTGTGTTGGCATGACCAGAACAGTCAACTAACCCTCAAAGGCTCCTTAAAATGGTTTTCCCAGCCTTAGCTATATGGAAACTCTGTCCTTACATTTGCTCAGCTCAGAAACCTTGGAATCTTTTTTTATTTATTTTGTTTTTCAATTACAGTTTACATTCAATATTATTTTGTATTAATTTCAGGTGTACAGCATAGTGGTGACACCATCATATACTTTACAAAGTGTTCCCTCTGATATTTCCAGTATCCACCTGGCACCATACATAATTATTACAATACTAGAGGCCCGGTGCATGGATTCATGCACCAGTGTGGTCCTTCATACTGGCCTGCACCCTCTCACAATCTGGGACCCCTTGGGGGATGTCAGACACCCAGTTTTGGCCCAATTCCCCACAGGCCAGGTGGAGGGACCCCATCGGTGCACAAATTCATGCACCGGGTCTCTACTATGCATATAGAGTAGGTCCTCAGGTTATGTTGAAGATCCATTCCTACGGTGCCACATAACGGAACCCACCTACATAATCACATCACTCACATGGAGCACATACACAGCAGTAATGAAGTGAAAGAGTAAAAAATAGTTTAAAAGAAAGATAACAATTCCTGACCTTTACTTGTGGTAAATAAATAATAAAAAACATAAAGCGCATATGTACATATGTCGAAATGATGGAACTTTTTTTTTATAAATAAATGGGAGATGGCCACGTAACCACGTAACCACGAGACAATGTACATCGAGTCCGACGTAACCCAAGGACTGTCTGTAAGATCTTTGGTTAATCTCTTCCTGCCCTCCCCCCTTCCTCCTTTCCTCTGACATTCAGTAGTCTGCTCCATGTTTCCATGCCTGTGGTTTCCACTCCTGCATTGAGCGTCTGCCCCCTGGTGGTCAGTGCGCGTCATAGCTACTGGGTGGTCAGCTGGTCGGCCGGTCACTTAGGCTTTTATATTATTGACTGTACTCTTGGAATCATTTTTAACTTCTTTCTTTAACACCTCACATTCAGCCTATCAGCAATTCTATCAATTCTGCCTTCAAACCATGAACAAAATGTTCCATCTTCCAATAAAAACCCATCTTTTTCATCCAAATGGCATCACCAACTTCTTCAGAATCCAGGCACAAAGTCTTGCAGCCACTTTTCATTTCTTTCTCTACCTGTTTCTTCCTTTCTATTGTCTCAGAAATGTCTCTCCTTTACCTTCCCTGCCATCCTCGCTCTGCTCTATCCTGTTGCCTGCTCACTGAAGTCCACCTTTCCAGCCTCCCAGACTTGCCATCCTCATGGCAAGCAGAGCCTTCTCCTTACAAAGTTGACGTGATCAAAACCACACAAACTGACAAGGACACCCCATGGTCTACAGAAGGAAGTTCAAAGGCTTTCATCCGCTGGTGTGAATATCAGATATTGTGAACGTCAGTCCCTCTCAGTGGATTCTCCTGTGCTGAGACTATGTGACACTTAATGGCCTGGCCTTCCACACGGTCCATGAGCTGCTCTCCTTCTCCTTTCATAACCTCAGTTTTCACTCTTCTACTCCTGATTTCCTCATGAAGAGCCAGACTTCCCACATGTAAGCTGGCACTTTTTGTCTCCATGCCTTTGAATGTGATGTTCCCTGTTCAGAAAGTCCTCTTCCTCTCTCCCTTCTCCCACCGCATCATGCCCAAGTCCCACTTCCCCAGTGAAGCTTCCCAGGCCACTCTGCTCCTAACATTCAGGGGTCCACAGGGCAAGAGTAATTGGAAGAAAGTCAATCACCACCTTTTACACCCCCACACACACACCACACCCCCTCTGCACACAGGGTCCTCTCTCGTGCGTGGGGGCAGGGCTGGCCTCAGAACACAGCAGCTCACTCAGCATCATTGTCACAAAACTCTCTCTTTTCCCTAACAGCCCGATTGTTTTATATCCTTGGTCTGAGAGAAGGATTTTTAAGCATTGTAGCCCTGATTTTGGAAATGTTTCCTTTCAAAATTTGTATCTTGGTCTTATTTATTGCATTTTATGCCTCCATTGAAACTCCCAATTCAACATCCTATTAAAATATTCTTCTGACCTATTTGATAGGGTCACAGGATCTTGGAGATATTTACATTGCCTGCCATTGAATTGCTCATGGCACAGTCTTGATAACAGAGAAAATGAGGATTTTGAGGGCAAGTATATGAATATTTCAAATCTTGCCTACTTCCGTTTGCAACAAATCTTTCCCAAGTATAATTTTATTATGTTTCCAGCTAAATCTCAGGACAGCATTTATCCAACACTAAAAAGGATTCCATAACTGAATACCAGAATATTTAAGAATACAACCATCACATAGAACAGGTTTAAGTTACTAACACACTAATTTACTCTCGGCCAGTCTTTACTGAAATAGATAATGTCTAAGGCCTCATTTTCCTTATATGTAAAATAATGACCATAATGGTGCCTACCTCCTAAGATCCTTCTGAGGAGGTTTAAATTAGAAAGTACATTTGAAGGTGTTGACATGGCACCTAACGCAGAGTAAGTGCTGAATAAATGTTAGCTATTTTTATGATTATCCTTATGTGAGAGAAAGTCAATATTGAGGGTCATGAGAAAACCAAGCATGAAAGATGCTGTAACCTATGTAAGACTCACTCGTGATAAAGCCAGCACCAGGCCTGTCTCCAGAGACCCATCAACAGCTCTTTCATTTACACATCAGTCCCGTCAGTAGTCAGTGTTTGATAATTATTGAAATTTTGATCTTTATCAAAGATATTTGAAATTTTTTTTTAAATGTTTGTAAGAGAAGAAAATCGAATCTTTAACAAGGAAATGTCAGACATAATAAGGAAAACAAATTTTGAGACATAAAAACAAAACAAAACAAAAGTGGCTCCATTTCCAGCCTGGTGCCACAAAACCACCCAGCATGTCACGTGGAAACTCTTCCTTCCCAAGCTGACAGCTTTTGTATCTTCACAGAAGAGAGCCGATAAGAGCCACAGAGAAAACTGCCAGCTAATGACTGAGCTTGCACTGTCAGGCTTGTGGTCCCCGGGATGACAATGGGGAAGACGTAATGCAGAACGTGGACTGCCCCCAACCTCTGACAGACTTCCGGTGGCCATAAGTAGGGCAGCTTGGACAGTTCCGTTCCTAAAATTCAAACTAAGAGAGATTTCTCAAAGTATAGTCCAGCTTCCAAGATCCCCAGCACTCTGGACTGCTCTTAAAGGTTTATTTTAGAAATATTTACCTCTCTTAATGAATTGAAACAGACTACTAAGGCCAAACTCACCAACTGGTAAATATCAATGGGAAAGATATGAGAACAATTTTTTAAATTAAATTTGCTGGATAATATTAGAAATAAACTACAATAAAAACAACCCAAAATACTCAAACACCTGGAAGCTGAATAGCATGCTATTAAATATTGATTGGGTTACCAATGAAATCAAAGAAGAAATTCGAAACATCCTGGAAACTAATGACAATGAAAACACAACAATCCAAAACCTATGGGACACAATGAAAGCAGTCCTGAGAGGGAAGTTTATAGCTCTACAGGCCTATCTCAAAAAACAAGAAAAAATGGTAGTAAATCATCTAACTCTACAACTCAAAGAATTAGAAAGAGAGCAACAAGAAAACCCCAGAGTGAGCAGAAGGAAGGAGATAATAAAGATTAGAGCAGAAATAAATGACATAGAGACCAAAAAAACAATACAGAAAATCAATGAAACCAAGAGCTGGTTCTTTGAAAGGATAAACAAGATTGACAAACCTCTAGCCAGACTCACCAAGAAGCAAAGAGAGAGGACCCAAATAAACAAAATCAGAAACGATAGAGGCGAAATAACAACAGACCCCACAGAAATACAAATGATTGTTAAAAAATACTATGGACAGCTCTACTCCAACAAACTAGACAACCTGGAGGAAATGGACAAATTCCTAGAAAAATACAACATTCCAAAACTCAATTAGGAAGAATCTAAAAATCTCAACAGGCCAATAACTATGGAAGAAATTGAAGCAGTCATCAAAAAGCTTCCAGCAAACAAAAGCCCAGGACCAAACGGCTTCACAGGGGAGTTTTACCAAACATTCAAGGAAGAACTAAAACCTATCCTCCTCAGACTACTACAAAAAATTCAAGAGGAAGGAACACTTCCAAGCTCATTCTGTGAAGCCAGCATCACCCTAATACCAAAACCAGGTAAAGACAACACAATGAAAGAGAATTACAGGCCAATATCCCTCATGAACATAGATGCCAAAATCCTCAACAAAATCTTAGCAAATCGGATCCAGCAGTACATCAGAAAGATCATACACCATGACCAAGTAGGATTTATCCCAGGGATGCAAGGATGGTACAATATCCGCAAATCAATAAACGTGATACATCACATAAACAAATTGAAAGAAAAAAACCACATGGTCATATCAATTGATGCAGAAAAAGCATTTGACAAAATTCAACACCCATTTTTGATAAAAGCTCTCAGCAAGGTGGGAGTAGAAGGATCATACCTCAACATAATAAAAGCCATATATGACAGGCCCACAGCCAACATCATACTCAATGGACAAAAACTAACACCATTTCCCCTAAGAACAGGAACAAGACAGGGATGTCCCCTCTCACCACTCCTGTTCAACATAGTACTGGAAGTGTTAGCCATTGCAATTCGGCAAGAAGAAGAAATAAAAGGCATCCAAATTGGAAAAGAGGAAGTAAAACTGTCCTTATTTGCAGACGACATGATATTATACATACAAAACCCTAGAGACTCCATCAAAAAGCTACTGGACTTAATACATGAATTTGGCAGTGTAGCAGGATACAAAATTAACCCCAAGAAATCCGAGGCATTTCTGTACACCAGTGGTGAACTTTCAGAGGGAGAGATTATAGAAACAATCCCGTTTACCATCGCACCAAAAAAATTGAGCTACCTAGGAATAAACTTAACTAAAGAGGTAAAAGACCTCTACTCAGAAAACTACAGGACGTTGAAAAAGGATATAGAGGAAGACATAAACAGATGGAGGAACATACCGTGTTCATGGATTGGTAGAATCAACATCATTAAAATGTCCATACTACCCAAAGCAATCTATAAATTCAACGCACTTCCCATTAAAATACCAACGGCTTACTTCAGAGATCTAGAACGAACTCTCCAAAATTCATCTGGAATAAAAAAAGACC